TTTTTTTATTTTTTTTTTTCTCGTCGAAGGAACATTTCCCGAATATTACTCATTGTACGTACTTTAATTGTTACGCCGATAATTCGATACTGGAATCGATATCGACGGTGGCAATAAACGACCCCTCGATATCAGCGTTGTCCAGTGATAAGGAATTTTTTCATTTAGTTACCACACATTCCAACTCTGGGTATCGATATAACCTCGAGTTGGGTTATCTTTATGACTTATTACGTAATGCCGTGCAGCGAATAGAAGGATATTACACGAGGAGATAGGGATGGGTCTAATATGTATCTACGAGTCTGAGTCAATATCTAATTGTAAGTTTCATGCTCCATGGGCTTCGAGAATATTATTCGAAAGTAGAAACGTGGACTGCAATATATTCATTGGGAATAAAAATAAAGATTGAAAACAATACTGTTTTTATGCGATCAAGAAAGTCAGAGTCAAAATTTCTTTCTTTCATTAGCATGATTCTTCATCAACTTGGACTGCGTTACCTATTGCAAGAAAAAAATGTCGAGGTTTTTTTTAACATCGTAGACGACCTTTCAATAATTTCATCGCTATATGCAAGAAATGTTTCATCTTATTGAGAGACACTTTTTTTCCAAAACTGACTTTTATCACCGAGGTCTTTTTTGCATTCAGTAGATAATATATCTATAGCGATGGAATATATCGCGTTCAAATTGACAAAGTCTTTGTCACATTGAAAATTAAAAATCATCCATCTGTAATATGTATCGGAAATTTCCGAAATTGAAAGACGTATCGTCAATTGTTTTCCAGTATTCTCTTCTTCATTAATTGCCAGGTTAAGTTGCAATGTGTGTGAATTTTCTTAAAAATCAAAGGCTATAATCAAGTTAATATCAATTAGAAGATTACGTGTTGCAGTGATGCAAATTCGTGGCATATTGGAAGATGAAAAAAGTGCAAAATTCTGAAATCGCCTTTTGAGAAACAAAGCATTGCTGTTCCTTATATTATCAGTGTGAGAACCAGATTTGTTTTACGAGCATTAAGATTCGATTTATGGAATACGTCGAATACGAAAAAAACACTTGGTAATGCTTGTAAAAATATTCGAATTCAACGAACTAAAGTTTCGAACGTACTTGTGAGGTACTCGAGCCCATCTCTACTAGCAAGTTGTTCAATCCATAAACACGGGGTATAAACATATACGGTAGGCAAGATTAAAAGAAGGGTGGATTGAATAAACGAGTCGGGTGTTGTAATAAGAAAAAGAAAACAGGGACGAGGTGAAAATGGGTGGTTGTAGAGAAGAGTCGGAGAGAAATTGGGAGATATTTTTACCCCTGGGAAACATCGGGATGGAATTATACGTATACTTTCGTGGTACGTCTTCAGCTAATTTATCGGAAATAAGGCCAATCGTTCGCTCAGGGCTTGGGCCATTCAATATCTTCGATGAATGTAAATTTATGTCAATTGCGGTCAGTCAAAGAAGTCCACATACGGCTATCGACTTTTAAATATGTATCTGAGACAGAAGAAGAAGCGTTTTGCCGATCTTAATTAATTTGTTGATTGAAATTAGATTGATTTTAAAGTGGTTTTTTGCAATTGTTTGAAAGTATATAAAGTAAATGAAACTGATTATGTTATACATTCTATTCTATTCTATCCCATTATTTATTACTATGTTCTATTATATTATTATTATATCATATTTTAATTATAATTTTAATGTTGTAATAATTTTAGTGTTGTATAAATTTTAATGTTCTATTAGATTATCATTATATCATAATTATGATTATAGTAACAAGAATAACACATTCTCTAGAGTTCAATATATTCATGATAATTTCTTTTAGGCGAATATAAGGAATATTGTTTTCTCTTAGAATTTGTATAACTTCAGTGGTTCGAATCACTGTTTCATTTTAAATATTTCAAATTTGATAGATCTCTCGTGATCAGCTGTATTTGCTCGAGTTTTCCAGAATTTTTCATCTCACGTTTCAACCGATTTCTCTCTTTCTCTGTAACACACGTCTCGGCCACTGGACGAATTAATTCCAATTCCAACGGAATTGCACCACATTATCTTCGATTTTCTCTGACGCTATCGGCGTGGAGCTTCTCAGTAGCTTGCATTTCCGAGCCATTGCTCGTTATGGCTGACACGCCTTACACCGCACACGCATTAGTTCCTCCTAATCTATAACAAGATACACCTTGGACTGGTCTTGCTGGCTATCAGCTCGACGTACTCGCGGCTAATTGCGATCTGCGGTCACGGCAAGGGCTATTTCTACCGCGGGCTTGGACTTCCACCCTCGTGGATCTCCTACCTACCAAATGAATTATAGTTCGTGATTTACGGCGAACCGCCATGAAATA